GGCTGTTTCCAGATCTTAGCTATTGTAAATAATACTGCTATGAACATAGGGTGCATATATTCTTTCTGGTAGGTGTTTCTGGCTTCTTAAGATATATTCCTAGAAGTGGGATCACTGGGTCAAATGGCAGCTCCATTTTTAATTTTTGAGGAACCTCCACACTGTTTTCCACAGCGGCTGCACCAGTCTGCATCCCCATCAGCAGTGCCCTAGGGTGTCCTTTTCCCCACATCCTCACCAGCACTTGCTGTTTGTTGATTTATTGATGGTAACCATTCTCACAGGTGTGAAGTAAAACCTCATTGTAGTTTTAGTTTGCATTTTTCTGATGATTACTGACTTTGAGCATCTTTTCATATGTCTCTTGGCCATCTGTACGTCCTCTTTGAAGAAATGTCTATTCAGGTCCTTTGCCCATTTTTTAATCAGATCATCTGTCTTCCTTTTGTTAAGTTGTATGAGTTCTTTAAAGCATTTTGAAAGTTAACCCCTTATCAGATGTATCATTGGCAAATATGTTTTCCTATACAGTGGGCTCCCTTTTCATTTTGTTGATGGTTTCCTTTGCTCTGCCTTTCTAATCTTTCATGATCACAGTGGAATGTAGGTTCAGGGCATAGGGAAGTGAAGCCTAGGACCTAGGGTTCTGAGATGGCGCCCTCATAGAGCCTTTGGTGTTGGTAGTGCATTCTGACAGTGTTGATATCAGCCTCAGATATCTTTTATCTTTCACCTAGGTCACTGATCCTCACTGAATCTTTAGGCGATTAATTCACATGTGTTTGAGGAGGCCTGTAGAGCTGGGGCTTCTTCCTTGACCTGGACTCACTTCAATTGCTGGGTAATTATTTCTATAAAATCTGTCTCTTAATTTTTCTGTATGTTCCCTCTCAGACCTATCTCTGACCTCAATCCTAGGGTCCTAAGGTGCATGTCTGTATTACAAAATAAGAATATGGACAAAGGCGATGGCTCTGAGCAAATAGCCAACAACTGGACAGTGATGGCCCTTGAGGTCTGGAGCGTTGCTCAGGAAATAGGCAGCCCTTGACTGAAGGCCTTGTCCCAGCCTTCTCTCTTTCATAGTTGACTCATCACATCTTTCTTTTCTTTGTCCAGCCCTTTCAGACTCAGGCCTTCCTCAATGCCAAAACCAAACTCCACTGCTGTGACTGAGTTCCTCTTTGAAGGTTTCTCCAGCTTTGGGTGGCAGCACAGGCTTGTCTTCTTTATTGTCTTTCTAACTTTGTATCTGCTGACTCTCTCTGGCAATGTCATTATTGTTACCATTATTCGCCTGGACCGTCACCTCCATACTCCCATGTACTTTTTCCTGAGCATGCTGTCCATCTCTGAGACCTGCTATACTGTGGCCATCATTCCCCGCATGCTTTCTGGCCTGCTGAGTCCTCATCAGCTCATTGCTATCCAAGGCTGTGCCACTCAGCTCTTCTTCTATCTCACCTTTGGTATCAACAACTGCTTTCTGCTCACAGCCATGGGATATGATCGCTATGTGGCCATCTGCAATCCCCTACGGTACTCAGTCATCATGGGTAAAGAGGCTTGTGTACAGTTTGTATCTGGGTCACTGGGAATCGGTCTGGGCATGGCCATTGTTCAGGTGACATCTGTGTTTTGCCTTCCCTTCTGTGATGCCTTTGTCATCTCTCACTTCTTCTGTGACGTGAGACCCCTGCTGAAGCTGGCCTGCACAGACACCACGGTCAATGAAGTCATCAACTTTGTCGTCAGTGTCTGTGTCCTTGTTCTACCCATGAGCCTGGTCTTTATCTCCTATGTCCTCATCGTCTCCACCATTCTTAAGATTGCTTCAGCTGAGGGCCGGAAGAAGGCCTTTGCTACCTGCGCCTCCCACCTCACAGTGGTCATCATCCACTACGGCTGTGCCTCCATCATCTATCTCAAGCCTAAGTCCCAGAGCTCCCTAGGGCAGGACAGACTCATCTCAGTGACCTACACTGTCATCACTCCCCTGCTGAACCCCATCGTGTACAGCCTGAGGAACAAGGAGGTCAGAGATGCTCTGTGCAGAGCCACGGGGCAAGAGCCCCGCTCCCCTTAATGAGAAGAGGTTGTGAAGGCCTTTTATTTGGTTCTGTAAATATGCATTAATTTTAATGCTGTTTCAATAATGTCTTTAAATATGGGATCAAGAAGAATAGACTGAATTTAATTGGGCGCTTCCACTTGAGGTAGTCAGGGCTCTCCGTGCCCTCCCTCAGGGAAGATAAGCAATGACTTCACACACAGCTCAGAATGCAGGAGAAAGGGTTACATGCCCGAGCCACCAATATCCATGTTCTCTCGCCGGCACACGCACATAGCTATGCACGTCCTGAGAATATGTTGTTATACAACTCCATTAAGACACAGAGTACAGCAAGGCTCTTAAGAGTTAATAAACAAAGGATTTAGAAACCATCTTAGACTTTTTGTGTGTGTTAGTATGGGTGTAGGAGTAATGTTTGCAAATATTTTAACAATTAAGTGAGGAGACATGCATGCATATTCTTATCAGTGGACACTGAAGGCTTTATTGCAATCTGTTTTTGCCACCTGCTAATACCCTATCACGGCCTGAAGAATCAACAAAAGATGTCATGCACATTTTCCCAGTGGCCAGAACTGCCCTAACTGACCGCTCCTGGGCATGAGGAGTGTAAATGTGGGAAAGCAAAAAGCCATTAACTACTGAGAGGCCAAAGGTGGGTTGTTCATAGTCCAGAGATGCCTAGGCGAGAAAACTCCAATGGTAAAGCAGGACATGCTGAAAAGTCCAATGCCTTTCGCACTCCCAATATGGGACTAGAAGAGAATGGAGTTCAGAAAGGGCCAAGCAAACATATAGTTTCTTTTGCAAGATAAAGCTAAGCTCTTTGAAATAGTATTATAAATGTATGCACTTTAACGAAAACTTCTGAAAATATTTATTAACCAGCAGAAGTCTGAAGCATGACTTAAAAAAAAAAAATCCAGTAAATTCCTAAGCCTGCAGAGGTTAATCTTCAGAAATTTCTCCCTAGATGCTCCAACTTAAAACCACAGTGGAAAAAAGTATTTCATGTGTGAACATCTCAGAAGGTGAAAGCATATGCTCTGGTTCAGGGAAAAATCCTCCCTCCCTCATCCTTCCACTCCACTCTGCCCTTCTAGTCTGAGGACCAAGCACAACCTGAGTTTCAAACACAGCTCTTACAGTCCTCAATATCCAGTTTATACCAAGTGACAACCCTGCAAAAGCTTGTGAGAGTGTCATGAAGTTTGCTGGGTACTGAGGTTGGGACAGGCCAGTGGAAATTAACAAATCCTCTAAGTAAGGTTACCATGTCTCACTTTGCAAAAAACACTGGCATGTGAAGCCTAAGAGATAAAAGATATCTTTGCCTTTATGTCCAGATTTCTAGAAATGATAGAGCCAGTTCATTTCTGTGAGGATAATCATAAAACAATTATAAAAACTTTTTTTCTTAGTAGTTCTGTTTGATCTAGATAAAAACGTTAGGTAAAGGCCTGATGGCCGGTGTCGCACTTTCTTCTATTCGAATACTCCAACTGCTGGGAGTGTCATGGGTGGACAGTTCTCAGCTGAGTCCTTCTTCAGGAATTGTCCTTGCTAAAGACCTGTCTCCTCCATGTCACACCCTCTGCCCAGGGGTTGAAGTTTTTGCTGTGGCTGTGTCACATTTCAACTATTTCTTTTGCCCATTCTGCTTCCTTCACTCTCATGCAGGTGCTGATGCTGGGAGCACTCCCTAATAAACTCATCACATTCAAAGCTCTGTTTTGGAGGCTGCTTCCTGGAAATCTCAGTTTACAGCATTTTAGGATCCCATATCTAGAACAGCAGTTGGCAAGTGGGGAACCCAAATTTTCAGCCTAGACATATTCTGACTAAGGCAGAAGGCCTGTGACTCCTATTTTAATTAAAAAAATTTTTATCCTATCAATTGAACTATATTTACTATGGCTCAATTCAGTTGGCAGCAGTTTAGTATTATTTTCTTGGAAACTGGTTAAAAATTAAGATGTGAATTTTTCTCAGAGTCCACAAAAAAATCATCCCTTTGTCTTAAAAAATTTATGAACAATTTCAATTTTATTGCTAGAACCATTCTTTTCATGTTTAGTTTAGTTTCTTTCTAATGGATTGACTTATAAGAGGCTGAAACTTAGTCCCATTTATTCCATGAGAGATTCCTGGGCCTCCAATGAATGTTGTAAAGACATAAAATGAAAAGAGAAATCAACAAACCCAAAATGTCTGAATCCTTTGCTTGAGATTTATTCCACTCTGAACTATTTTCAGAGCAGAGAGTTCTGATGATTATTATTCACTGGAATTTTCCCATGATGCTTAGTTCAGGTGCTGTAAGAGGGTATTCAACATATAAGTTTGGGAGATTTTAGAGGGTGAAACAATCACATCACAAAGGAACCTTAGTCTGAGCCTCATCCCCAAAGTTCTATGGCTCAAGACTGTCCCGGATTCTGCCAAGACCTAGAAGCTCATGGACAGTAAGTTGAAGAGCGAACATAAAAACGATCAGCCTCACTAGCATCCTACCTTGTCTTCTCATTCCTAGCCTATACCTACTGTGGTGGAGAGACAACATGTCTAATCTAAAACGTCATGGTTTTTGCCTTCAGAAGCAAAGAAAGAAACTGGCAAGCCTCAAATACTTGGAAGCATCATATGGTTCCATATTTCTTTTGTTCAAATTGTACTTCACTTTCACAAATATATAAATAAATGTACAAACAGATGTATAAATGAATATGCATTCTTTTACTTATTTAACTGATGTTTATTGAGTACTTACTATTACATGCCGTGTAACCAGTTTCAGTTGGTTTAGTGAATAGTTCAGTTAAATACAGATCTTTCTATGTATATTGTGAGTTGTGTTGGACAATTGAGAAGCAATTGCTGATGCCGGAAGGAAATTGCTATTGCAAATGTTTCTTGAGCAATGATATCAGTTCTTTGGGGGGTTTGGCTTAGGATGTGGGCCCATAAATTTGTTGCCTTTTCTGGTCTTCTTAATAGTCAAGATAAATTTAAACTGCTGCTTGGTTGAGATAAACAGCCCCGTGTCCACAGCAAACAGAATCACTACCAAAAATGGGATAAGAAATCGTAGCCAGTAGCAGTTGCTTAGGTGAAGTGTGGTGGAATCTAGATGCAACAAGAAACATAACTCATATTAAAAATTGAACAATAAGGTCCAGGGCTTCCTCTTCCCTGAAAGAAGGGCCCAACATGGTCTTCCATATTCTAGCATGATATGGCATTCAGGTGTAGACAGAAAACACTTCTGAGTTTGGTTCTTTAGACTGTACTCCCTGGAGCCCTAGGGAGTCCTGAATATCTCCCCACGGTCCTTGTCTAACAGTTTCTCTAGCTAATATGCCCAAGGGGGAAGGTAATAGGAAAAATGGTCCCTTTCTTGAAGCTAACAAGGCCAACATCCACATATTATTTAGGGGTAGGGGGTCACCAGTGTCTTATTTCTCAATCAATCAATCAATCAGTCAATCAATCATCATTCTGAGGTGTAGGCCTTATCAAACCAATTAAGTCAGAATTTCTAAGGATGAGATATGGACATCAACATATATGTATTTTTAATTTCCCCAAGTGATTCTAATGAAGTCTAGATCAAACCCTTTATTTTATAAAGATACTGAAAACTAAATAGTACTTAGGTCTCAAATTAGTTAACAGAGAACTGCCATTAGAGCTTAATTCCAATGCTGGTCTCATGCTTTTGTAGACATTAGTATGAGCCAAGCCTGAAAGGCAAAAGGCCACATTTCCTCCTTGTAAGGCAAACATTTCAAAGGCTCTCTCTTTTATATGAAGTTGGGAAAGAGCAGTCCCTTTCATTGGTTACAGAGGCAACCTACCTGCCTGTTTTTACCTCATTAAAACTTCCTTCTCTTCCCCCAATATACAGGCACACAACCTATTGACTTGTTGGTTTCCTTTCCTAGCCCTTCTAGCCTGGAATAGACTCTCCAAGTTCTTCACAGCCTTTGTTCCTTCAACCCTGACACTTCCTTTCAATTTAGTAAATATAACTGTTGCACCAGGAGCAGCAGATGACTTTGAGATCAAAACTAATTGCAATGTGTTATGCTTGGGTATTGCTTAACAAATTACAAATCCATTTCACAAATATTACCACATTTAATCTTCATAAAAATTCCATAATGTGAGCAGGAATTACTATTGCCATTAAACAAATTTTTAAAAATCTCAGACAGAGATGAAGAGATATACTCCACCCCAGGTCTCCCTATTGGAAGTGTAGTAGATTTTCTTAGGTATCTCACTGCCACCATTTTACAAACTGTTATTATTTCAAGTTGAGATGTCTCCTCTCCCTTCCCCTGCTACAAGTTCCTTCCATTTCCTTTACTAACTCACCTTTTATTACAGTGATCTTGAGGGAACTAGAGGTATAGTTATTCTGCGAAAGTGTACCGGTGCAGTAATAGGTGCCGCTATCTTCTGTTGTGGCATTGGCAATGGAGATGTTGTGGTTCTCATACCAGAACTTCAGTGCTTTGCCATTCTTGTAGTAAATCATCTTGTAGACTTTTCTATTCTTCCAACCAAGGCACCTGATGATGAAGGGCTCACCCTCCAATATCACCTTAGTAGAGGACTGAATGAGCAGCCAATCTGAAGAGCATTTATGTTACTTATTTAACAATGAACAAATAGATGATACAGATAGATTGTAGATAGATAAATAACAGCTAGATAAAATAGCAGAATCATGCACTGAGGTCCTGCATTGAGTCTGTCAGAAACCATTGTTTATCACTGATATATTTCTTGGCTCATAAAGTCAATAAAAAGGAACAAAATAATGCTTACAGCTGGACTTCTATATTGATAAATCTCTCCTGAAAAATAAGTCTGGGGCCATAAAATTGATCTGACATTTCTGCTGAGCCCATCCACGGAAGGTCTAAAACCCAGTATTCCCTTTAGCTCCACTCTTGTTAGTTCTAGTCACTAAGGGGGAAGTAAAACTATTCTGCGTGGGGTATCTTAGCCTAGGACAGTATCTGTTTTGTCTTCTCTTACCTCATAGGGACTTCTAGTTTTATTAGTCATAGTTGATCCAAACGTTTCCTCAAAACATATATAACAATTTTTATTAAGTATTTGTATAATTATTTATTTAATGCCCTCGTCCTCATTTGGCTCTATACTTCAAGAGGTTTGGGGTCATGTCTGTTCCTTACATTATATCCCTAGAGCCTAACACGATACCTAGGAGGTGGTAAGTACTCAACAAACATTTTTCAATAATGAGTCAGTGAAAAATAAGTCAGGTTCTATGGCTAATGTCATTTTAAGAATTGAAAAGCAGCCCTGCCAGTGTTGGTCAGTGGTTTAGAGCATCAGTCCACGCACTTTAGGGTTATGGGTTTGATCCCCAGCCCATCGGTTGGGGTTTGTGTAGGAAGCAACCAATAGATGTATCTCTCTCACATTGATCTTTCTCTCTCTCTCTCTCAAATATCAGTGGAAAAAATATCCTCAGGTGAGGATTAACAACAAAAAAAGAATTGAAAAGCAGTCACCAAAGAAAAATTGTAAATGGAAATATGCAAACATATTTTATTTAAGAGCGGTCCTTGAGGACTTTTCCAGAATCCACTCTAAGGAAATAAAGAAGCAATTCTACACTCCTTTACTTTGTATTTGGGATTTGCATATGGAGATTAAAACATCTTTCATTCAAGAGAAAAATACAAAGCCTATTTATACTTTAAAATATATTTATATTTAAAAATATGAAGTAAAATATAACAATTAACCTAGTCATTCAAATGAGAGATAATCAGAGGTGAAATAAAATGGACAAATAACATTGGAAGATGGCCAGAAGTTCAGGCAGGCAGAAGGAGTAGAGATGGAAGAAGAGAGATGGACAGGTCTTGAGTGGGGGACCCTGAGCCCCACCCTGGTACCCTAAGCTTTGGAATAACTTGCTTTCTCCCCATCATCAGATAGGCATTTTCTCACATGGGAAAATCTACATTTCCATAGACTTGGAACTTACCACTGATGACTTCTAGATACACAGGTTGACTTGGGATAAGGTTTTCATTCTGACATCTGTATTCCCCACTGTCCTGGATTCTGGCATTTACAATGTCCAAACTTGAAGTTTTCACTGCTAACACGGTGTTGTTGTGGGTCCACTTCGTGGTGTTAACTTCAAGGGAATTATTCCCATCACATGTAAGCGTCACATTCTCTCCTTTAAATATTCTTTCCCACGGTGGATTCAAGGACACCGTAGATCTCCAGGTGGCTTTGAGAAGATCAAATTGTGAAAAAAAAAGAGATAGAGGGGGGAAAATCATAGAAAATGAATTGTCTAGGCTTCAAAGTACAGACATTCCAATAGTCAATCAATGGTCAGTCTACCCTTTACTGCTGTTGATAAGACCCTACGTGATGTCTAGGATTTAAAAAGGAGGAAGCGCTGGTGAGGCACCAGGGAGCTCCCAACCAAGGGAGAAAGAACAAAAAATGCAGGATATTAAAAAAACAGACAAACGAAAAACTTAATATGTGGTATAGGATAACTCACTTTAATTCTCTTGATTTCCATTTCAGAATTTGTAAATGAGGACCGCACTCTCTTTTCAGGCAGAGACAATGTCTGTCATGTTCAACCATAGTTTGACTCGATGACTGGTACATGGGGTGAGTGAATGAGTGAATGATGGTTGCATAGCTGTGTTGTGAGTGTATGTGCAGCAAACAATATATGTCAATTCTGGAAGGCAATGAGAAACACCAAGAGGATCCATCTTAAAAGGCTTCCAAGAACAAAGAGATGTGGTACAAATTTGAACCGCAGGTAAGGAAGTAGCAGGGGGTGATGAAGGAAGGGCGAAGCTCTCAAAAAAGAACCAGACTTGGATCCGAGGGACTTGTGTTAGAATCCAGACCTTTGTTAGCTGTGGAACCTCCAGAAAATCACCAAACCTGGGTTTTAGCATCCTTAATTATAAAATAGCAACGTTAAGAATGATGATGTAAGAATTGAATGAGATTATGTAATAGTGCCTGGAAGAGAAGCTGAGACATTTGAATGTTCAAAAGATATGGTTGTTGACATAAAAAGAGGAGGCGGTGACTTGACAGAATGAATTGGTATGTGGCACGCTTTAGAGTGAAAGAAAGGAAGATAGACAAGGCAAGGTGGAAATGGGGATTTGGTTGGACAGGAAGTTGCAGGTTCATAATCATTAGAAAACAAAGAATAATTATTAGAAAATAAAGATGCTGGAATGAAGGGAAACAGTGCAGGGAGGCAATGCCCAGACACATTGAAAACACTGAGAGAACAAGGGCAGAGGACTCACCTGCTGGCACACCATCTGGAGCTGCAAAATTTCAGAGAGGATAGATTAGTGTCTATTCCCAGCCTTCTGAGTCTCCTGAGGACTGGAATCTGGTGTGGTGATGAGGTCTACATTCATGGAGTTTTAAGGGCCAACCATCTTCTCGGGGATTTGTTCCAGGGAGATAAGGAGATTCTCTTTTCCCTCTATCATCCCTCCCTTGTACTCTGGGACATGCCAGACCATTGCAAGAAACCAGGCTCTCAGTCTTGTTTGGCCCTGTTTCCTCTGCTCTCCAGTTTGTCTCCACTACAGAATCCCTGGGAAATGCCTCAGGGTTTGCACATGGCCTGGGAAAAGTCAGCACTAAAACTGTCAACCCCTCCCCAGCTGCTCCCTGGATCCATTTTGGCCCCTCCAAGAGGGCTGAACCTCTACTTACAAAAGAGCAGCAAAGCTACCCACAGCAGGACAGGGCCTCCCATGGAAGTAGACATCACCTCTGTGGACTCCAAATGCAGGCTGAGCTGAAGTGTAGGGCCTTAAAATAGACATAAAACCAAAAAGGAGAAGGAAATGTTTTCTGCATCATATCTGGTTAATGCATCAGCTGAGCCTGGGTTTGCCGCCTACTCTGGAGACAAAGTTTGGAGTGGTGCCAAACTGGGCAATTTTATATGTATGTCCTTCCTCCCATCCTGCCTCCATAGACACACTGGGATCTGGTGAAAGAGAGTCATAGGGCCAGGCACACAGTCACAGGACGTTCTTAAACTGGAAATCAATGCAACTGACAAGAGTGGGGTACAGGCGATGTTCCATTCACTTCTCACGATAATCCTATGGCGCAGGTGCCTCCATTATCCCCATGTCCTAGGTAGGAAAACTGGGGCTCAGGGGGCTTAAGCAACTTGTCTTCGCGTACTAAATGGCTAATTTGGGATTCAAATATTTAAAAATCTGACTTTAGAGTGAAGCTCTTAATCATGACAATATACTGTTTATGCATGTTTACGAAAATGGCCAGCAATTGCTGACGTTCTCCTGTGGCTCTCCAGAGCCACCAGTATAGTGGACAGTTAGTTAGATATTAACAAACAGGAAGGGAGCAAAGGGGACCAGCGGACTGACTAGGAAAGGACAGCCTCACAGCCGCTCCAGGCATCTGAGGGGGCAGGAGAGTCGCTTCACAGTCACCCCAAGGGGTTCACCCCACACAGGGTGGCACAGAGATGTCCTTTCACGAAGCACAAGCACAGTGAAGCCGAATGGTGACAATAAGGGGCAGGACAGAAACCTAGGGAAAACTGGGGGAAAGATCAGGTAGGATAGGACGCAAGCCCGGGCAAAGCCAGGAAAGACTGAATTGTAGGAAAGAAGGCCTGCCTCTTTCCAGGCTCAAGGAAATATAACTAAAGCTGAACAAAGGCCCATCTCAGGGTGGCAGCTGCGTGGGCAGTGCCAATCACGGCCCAGGTGCCACTGAGCCTTGGTGACAGATGTGCAGACAGGGAATGAGGCACAGGGAAGTTAAGTAACTTGCCCGAGGTCAGCCTTGGGGGCTGGGGTGGTGCAGCCCTGGGCCCTGTTGACCATCCTGGGCCTGGTAGGCTGGACTTCTGCGGTGAGACGGAGCAGAACCACCTGGCTGTGGGTGAGACACTGGGCCTGGTATACCTGGGGGCATGGACGCGATCTACCAGCCGAATGCGGGGGAAGAGCCTCCTCAAGAGCCGCAGCCTTTTCAAGGGCAAGGGCGCTCTAATAAATCTTACCACCCCCTATGCGCCTGTCCCTGAAATTCATTTCCTGCAACTCATAGAAAAACTAATTTCCTCCAGTAACAGTACCAACCCTCTTGTTACCTAATTTCAGCTCATCCAATGGTCCACAAATCCACAAATTTTTATTTGATTCCTTAACGATCCACTATCCGATCAGCCAAATTGGAGATATTTTCAAACAATTCTTTTGCCCTACTGGGTCTTGATGGGGCTCACAACACAGGAAGGCAGATGTTAAATGATAATTTGTAGGAATCTAGGTCATATAACTTATTTTATTTTTTCCCCAGCTTGTGTCCATATTTATGTTCTGATCTTCCAACATGATTATCCCTTCTCCTTTAAATCCACATCAGTTTTCCTCCCTATAGAACCTCTTTGACAAATTCTTCTGTTCTTTTAGATGTAGGTCAGAATTGGCTACCTTCTTCCAGGGTTTGATATTGATGATGATACTGGAGATGATAAGTCCATAAATACATAGTGGTTTGCCCTTTAAAAAGTATTTTTATATGAGGTATTATATTTGATTCTTGCCCAGACTCTGAAGTAGGCAGGGGCAATATGAAGTAAGCAAGCTCTCATTTTATTTTATCTTATTTTTAATATATATTTATTGATTTCAGAGAGAGGAAGGGAGAGAGAGAGAGAGAGAGAGAGAGAGAGAGAGAGAGAAACATCAGTGATGAGAGTCATTGATCAGCTGCTTTCTGCATGTCCCCTGCTGGGCATGGAGCCTGAAACCCGGGCATGGGCCCTGATCAGGAATCACATGGCATCTAGTATGTGAAAGATGTTAAATAAATATATTTTCCCCTCCTTTATTAAAACTGTTATTTATTAGTACTGGCCACGTGGCTCAGTTGGTTGGAGCATCGTCTGGTGAACCAAAAGGTTTCAGGTTTGACTCCAGTCAGGGCACATGCTTAGGCTCCAGGTTCCATCTACCCCCTGTTGGGGCACATACAGGAGGCAATGGATCAATATTTCTCTCTCACATCAATGTTCCTCTCTCCCCCTTTCTCTCTCTCTAAAAAGCAGTAAAAACATCCTCAGCTGAATATTTTAAAAAGTTAAAAAACTTTTTAACAAATTAAAAAACCCACAAACTATTTATTAAAGACGCTTAAGATAAATATGCATTTATTTCAACAGTGTTGAGGCAATTGGCAACCTACATAGGATGTTTTATTTGATAAGCAGTATCTTATGCCAGCATAATTTATGTAAACAACCAATAACATTTCTATCCTCAAATTCTGACCTCTTATTGGTTCTCAGAAACCTTGATCTATATTTCACTTTGTAGCAATGTGGAAATGAAACACAACTGACCATGTATAGACTGTAGGGACTATCAACTGTGAGGTGTCCAGAGCAAAAGGCTTTTGACAGGAACTTTTGTGATTTGGGACAGGCTGGCAGAGGAAGGATCAGTTCAAAGGGTATCTGGGGCCTGTGTGCCCTTCTCCAAAATTGGGAAGCAGAAAGAAGGGCCAGTCTCCTGGCTTTTCCCCCTTGATGTCCTTCAATTAGGCAAGGCTCATTAAAAATCCAAATTGAAATTGGACGTAAAAGAATGAAAGAGCAGAACAGCTGTATACTCATGGAGTATGGGTGCCTCATAAATACCCATCTCTCCCTGAGGACTGGGAACCAGGCAACGTTTCTTATCTACTTGGCTCCTCCCACCGACTTTATGTGGTTAAAGAATGACAAAGCTAAAGTGCAAAGAGGTTAAGTGACTTGTCCAAGGACACGCAGCTGCTGAGTGAAAGTTAGTATCTGACCTGGGCAATCTGGCTCAGGACCATGTCTGCATGATGCACAGGGGTGGGCAAGAGTGGCGGGCTTATGGCTGCGAGTGACGTTCTTTTGTGTCAGTAAAGCTATTGTAATAATCATAAGCTGCATGTCTTTCCATACAAATGCTTTAAACCTCCTTTTGCCCACCACAGGTTTTCTTATTCATACAATCTACGCACTGCGCTTGAGTTCACGTGTGTTCATAGTCCCCAGACAAAAATTCCTTGGATTCCCAGGGATCCATAACCCACAAGTAGAAAATCATCGATTCAGTTCAATCTTCTGCTCTACAATTCCTTTTTCTGTATTTTAGGAGGTGACATTTCAATCCACAGTCATGGAGTGCTGTTGGCACTACTGGCATATTAGTTATATAAATTTCACAGATGTGCCTAAAAATAAAAGAGAAGAGAGACATTCTTGTCTTTTCACTCTAGATTCTTAGGTCCAGGAGGACATCAGCTCCTTCCACCACCTTGAACAGGGTCTGCTCAGGAAAGAGCATTCTGACTATCTGGTGAATTTTCACAGTAAAGTCAGTGGCTTTAACACTTTATTTTTTCTTGTCTTGACCGGAATGGTTACCTGCTTTGGGTGAATCTAAAAGAAATAAATGAAAGCTCCCAGGGCTCCCAAAGCAAATGCCCCGCAGAGGGAGATGGAGGTTGTGGAAGCTACAACCTCAGGAGTCGGCAGAGATTCTTCACCCAGGAAAAGAAAAATGAGACTTCAGGAAACAGTCCCCAGGATGACTCCTTTCCTTTTATTCTTAGAGACTAACTTCTTTCTAACATGGAAGAGAAAAATCAGTGAAATTTTTCACAGAAAGAACGATCTAACGGAGAGTAGCTGCATTTTTGAAAAATAGGCTATTCCTCAAATTCAAAGGCTGTCACCTTTGGGTTTTACAAATTGAGGTAGCTAGAGCTAATATCCTGCAGGCTGTTTATAGGCAAGTGCTGCCAGATATCCAGTTAAAGGACGCCAGTGGAAGTCCAGAGGTCAAAGGTCCTGGGTCAAGTCCTGGTCATATTCTGAGTGCACAAAAAAATGCTATAGGTGGGGAAAAGCTTTCCTAACTAGTGTTATAATTCTTGGGTGTCCCTAAAACCATAAAATACAGAGAGAATTATTGAATAGATCTCCTAAAATTCTTTAGGGCTTGCGCACTGGCTGAGCCTAACCCACGGTGTCTTGTAGTGTACACTGTGCGCATCTGGAACGTCAAGTTGCCTGCCTTTAAGATGTGTAACCAGCCCCTCACTTTCCGGATGAGACAGCTTTGTGGCCTCTTGTAGTTAGGGAGCAGTCTGACCCAGAGGTGTGCTCAAGCGAATTGGCCATGACCTTCACCTTATAAACACTATGTTCCATCCAAGAAACCCAAAGGGCCTTGACTTACCTTCTTGCCTTCAAACAGACAGTTGTTAAGTGAGCTGATCTTGCCTTCAGAATTCTCGGGGTGCATGGTGGTGTCAAAATGGTTTTCTTTAAATGCCAGACTATGTATTAAATTTAATAGATTAAATAAATAAAAATAAATTATTATCCATGCATATTTTAAAGAGATTAAGTGAAAGACTGATTAAGAGTCCAGGCTCTGCCCTGGCCAGTGTGGCTCAGTTGTTGGAGCGTGGACCATACACCAGAAGGTGGCAGGTTTGATTCCTGGTCAGGGCACATACCCAGTTTGCCGGTTCAATCTTCTCTCTCTCTCTCTTCCCCTCTCTCTAAAATCAATAAAAAATTATAGAAAAGAACCCGAGCTCGGCACAGGCTGTGGAGTGTGATTCCCAGGTCAGACCACTCACTGGCTGCATGGCCCCCGGGAAGTTACTCAGTCTCTGTGCCTCAGCCTCCTCTCTGGCGACAGTGATAGTGCAACAGGGCCGGGGACCTGGCCCTTG